CCCCAAAACCCCAAAACCCCAAAACCCCAAAACCCCTTTAAATCAATATCAGGTTGACTTCAGATTTAGGTTAACATTAAGTATTTGTGAATGTCTTCAGAAGTTACCTTGTCTCAAAAATCTTCCCTGCCTAAAGCTTCATGGCGAGACTCTATCTTGGAGAAGAAGAATGGTAAAAGCTCTTTTCCTGATTCAATGTTGGACCTAATTTTGAGAGCTTGATTAGATGGTAAATGATCGATATTGTTAAAACATGTGCTCAGTCAAGCTTTCAATGAGGTTTTTAGCTTATTTTAAAGTCTAAAGATTGTTCAAAAACTTACCTCTTCGTCTATGACACTAATACCTTCTTCAAACAACTCAGTTTCTGAAATTTCTTTAGATTGAGTCTGTGGCTTTTGCTCTTCTTGTGGGTCAGGCTCGAAATTATAAAACACCATAATATAGATATCATAATTAAACTCTTCTGAGTTGTAGTCAAAACTGTAAGAAAGTCATGTGTCACTTTTGTCAGTAACATTCTTTATCTTCTTGATCTTTCTCTTATTGAGGATGAACTTCAAGCTTGGCATGCCGATATCATCGAACAAAGACATTCTGGGATATTCATAAAGAATAGAATCGTAGAAAAATTCAGTGACAGATAATCGTCCTTGAGCTCCACTTTTCTTCTTATATTTCTGAGTACCAAGGAAAACTGTCAGCGAGTAATTGTCACCTAATTTCTGTGTGTAGTGATGACTTCCGTCTTCAAGCTCCAGGAAGTCAGCAACATGCCCAAAGATTCTCTGATGGATGTTTTCTTTATCAAGGTTTATCAAAGATTTATTTGCTTCGACTTCAAGTCAGAAAATATCCTGAGTGAAAGTATCATGATATTTAGTAACTTTGAACTTGAAGTTAACGAATGGATAAATTATTAGCAGAGTTTCCAGTTTTTGTTCAAAATGATTCCAAAATATTTCAGGTAGCTTTGCAGTCACTTCGTAGGTTATTATGATCTCATTTTGCTCTGTCCAGTTCACTTCCGGCAACTCAATCATGTCAAAGAAGTTTGATGAAATGTATAGGTAATACTGAAAATCATTGATAATCTTTAAGTCGAACTATACAGCATCCTAACTGAGATTTACCTTTAATTCAAGTATTTTCATGCAAACCGAATTTGTGAGGGTTTTATCTTGTAATGCGATGACTTCTGAGAGCAAGCACTTGATAATACTGTTAAGAGCTCTGTACAACTCTTTTGCAGTCTGAATTTGTTCACAAATTTCCTCTTCCGAAAATTGGTCAGTGAAAAACTGGTCGTCATCATAATATCCAATTTCCATAATTTAATTTTTAATTTCAAGCTAACTGAAAACTTTTGGGGTTTTGGGGTTTTGGGGTTTTGGGGTTTTGGGG